ATGATAACAAATGCACTCAATTGTGTGTAAACTGGGTTGTCAATAGCTTGTAAATGCTGCAAATAGCTCACTATATGTGCAAAACGCAAGAAATGTGTATTACAGATCCCCTTTCACATATTTCGTGTAACTCTGCGCTTATCTAGATATTCCCCACAAGCACTGTATCTGTAAACATGATATAAACGTTAACAGCCATCATAAGGCATGACTCTCAATACTAACTTTCACAGCACTAACAAACAAGCCCAGACACCTATGCCAATCGCTGCAAAGCCTGTTTAGTCTGAATTTTACCAGCTTGACTTTGCAGACAGCTAAAACGCCTTTCAAGTGTGATAAAGTTAGCAGGGTGGCTCTAATCAACGTCACACAGCGATACCAAGCAGAAGAATTGCATACAATCTGTACCCAGCTATACCCGGCTGTGTGGACGAGGCACAACGTTAGCCACATTAGCTGCCATGCTAACAACACACGCAACAGGCTCTCGTGTACATACAGTAAAGCAACATAAAATGGTGAAACTTACAGCTCCCAAGTTTGAAGTTGGGTCTCGGACAGTCGGTGCTGATCCGTGCTTTATCTTCAGAATGTAGCGAATCCCGCATTGTACTGGCCCTCGTTGAGAAAGCAGTCCGACATGAAATGTTCCGCTACAACTCCTAAAGTGTCCATCAAAAATAAAATAAAACAAATCCACTGGGTCTTCAGATCCTCGGACGTAGGGAGTAAAAAGACTTCTGTGTTGGTTTGTACAGTCAACAACCGAGCAACTAGCATGCTTTGCTTGTACCTTCGACACAGTTTTACTGGAGCCGTGATGCGAGGGAATAAACGATAGCGGCTGCAAGGTGGACTCAGAAGGCGGAACACACACCTAGCTCGGGGAGTGTCACCCACCTGGGGGAGGTGGCATCTCCCTTCATGACGACATCAAGGGAAAATCTCCAATTGGCCTGTGTGAGCACACATTTTCTGAAAGGTGGAGCATCCAAAAGACGGAGAGGATGGACTTTTCTCATGTTTGGGGGGTTTGTAGACAGGCAGGGGACACATATTACTGATAGAAAACCATGGAAAAGTGCATTTTGCATAATATGTCCCCTTTAACTAAAGTCAAGGTTAGCTGTGTGAAACATTATTCACAGCCTTTTGTGGCTGTCACCTTGCATGGTTGGGCCTACCTTCTGCCTGTTCTCTGTGTGTTGCACTGGTCCCGCCTACTGCTGAAATGTGAACGGGATTATTATCATTATTATTATTATTATAATTATACAGAGATCCTTCAATATATAGGCTATTGCATTTTGGTAATATGGCTGGAAGCTACACTTAATTTACCTTGACTTGTACTTTGCGTAGACTGAGCCTGCTGTTGGAATGAGGGCTGATATCAGCCTCCTTACTTCAGCTTGGACTGCCAAGCTTTCATTTTGCGAGAGCATTTTTAGGCTCTTGAAACGCGGGGAGAGGAAAGTGGCAGTTTTGTGGATAGGGGAGATGATCATCTTTTTGTTCAAGAGCTCTCCGGCACGCCTGCGGATGTGCTGCATGTACATTGGGTCCCCGCACACAGTGCCTTCGCAGCCTGTGGTGCCAGAACAGGATTGAGTTGATAGTTGGATAGCGGTCTCCCTCCATATCCTATGAGGCATGTTTGAAGGGTGTCAAGAATTCGCCAACTGCGTTAAGGACCTCCACCTGTATAACCCTCCACCCGGTGTTCTTGACCCTTTTCTTCGAGTAGTTGTCGAATCTCACTGTTGCCTCGCGATTGATTTCAGCATCTCTGCCTTACTATTCCACCTTGTGTCGCTCTCCTGAACTACAGCATGCGGAAGGCTGAGTGTACTGCCAGACTTCTTAAGGTAAGCAACCAGATGCTTGCACTGACTAATTTAGCCAGTCACTTCGCCCGTGAAATCTGGTGCGTCACTTTCTTCGAAAATATGCTTCAGAACGGTGTTGAGTACGTGCGCTGTGCAGGGTATCCAAGAAAAATTCTTGAGTGCGGCCTTAATGTTGGGGCCCTGGTCACTTACAAACACAACTTTTGACAGGTTGTTAGGGGCCAACTTCTAGAAGTTCTTTACTAATCTGGTCATGTATGTTTGGTGCGGTTTTTCTGAGCATATGGTCAAATTCTAACGTGGAAATCACTCGACTCAAAAGTTTCCAATCTTCAGTAACGAAATGGCATGTTAGTACTGTGTACGATCTCAGATTGAAGCTGTCGGTCCACATGTCTGTTGTGATGCCTATTCCGTTTTCCATGGCTTTTTCAATCTGCTGGATTAGGTTCTCCTTTTCTTTCTTGGTCTGCTCTTTGGCCCTGTCGCAAATTGTTTGTCTGTGAGGGAGGACGGAGTTTATGTCCACTGATCCCAAAATGTGCACCGATATTTATAAGCCCTTGTGCCACACAAGTAAACCCCTTTCCAGAGACAACATCAAATGGACGTAGGTCCGAGCAGCAGAACGCTACAAAGTCATCCACAAGTTTAGATTTTGCTGCGAGTGGCACATTGCTTTTCATGAATACTGGCATTAAAGGTTGTTCTGAATGAGCTTGTGTGGAAGGCTTATTAGGTTGTGGAGCCGACCCACGGCATGAATGCCGAAGTAGGTTTGATGTAGCTGTTTTATGCCCATCGTATTTGTACAGCAGCTCACACACAAGGCACATAACGTAGGGGTGTCATCGGACAAGACGACTTGTCCAAATTTTTCCCACACCTTGCTTTTTTGGCCCACTTTCTGCACAACCTTTGCGTCACCCTTTTTTAACTTTTCTCTGATTAAGCTAGCCATGTCTTCATCGGAAGTTCCAGAGAGGTTTTGGCGGTGTAAATAAAAGCTACAGATACCATATAGGGAAAAAACAACTTGTTGAATTGTTGAATTGCTGAAAAGCGAACCCTGAGTATGAGTAAAGTATGGTAGGCTATAGGTTATATAGGTTATATCTCACTTTTAATATTGAGTAGGCAACAGAAAAAAATGTGAGATGGAGACGTAAGACATCTAATGTATTCTTAATGCAGACTGACAGCAGCGCGCTGTGAGAGTGCTTCTGGGTGCAAGAGAGCCCTGCATTTGTGACAGTGGTCATGTCAGTAGCCCTCAATAGGTTGCATGCAATTTAGAGAGTCTATATTGCAAAAGGTAATATTTTTATTGTACTTAATATCTCTTAAAGTTCCTAAGTGAGAAATGTGTTTTCTCTTTTTGACCCGCCCCACCCGCACCCGCAATATTTTAAAAAGCTACTACCCGAATCCGCCCAACCCGCGGATATCCGCGAGTCATGGGTCGACCCGCGCATCACTAACATGAATATATTTGACATATATTTGACTTATATTTGATTACTGTTCTGTACAAATGTAATAGACAGATTTTAGCTCTTTATAATATTCTACTCTGATTCGCTGTTGTAACACCAACCAATCATCAACAAGCATCAACCAGTTTTAGGAGTAAACAGGTTCCCTCAGATCAGGTGATCACTGGGAGTGGTTCTGATCCAGTACCAAATAACACCAGGTCCAGAAACACTTTCTACTGTTGCACCTGTGTAGGGGGCAGAGCCATGACTCATCACTAAAGAGGTGATTGCTTCATAAACAACTTCTGAACTTCTGAATACATTCATGACCACAGAGTGATTTTTCAACATTTTTTTTCTATTCTCTGATGAAGACATGATGCATGGTCATTCAAAAGACCAATCAACCAATTCATTGTGGAGGATGAGACATATTCCTGTGTTCCACTGACAAAGGAACATGTCCTTGGAACATGTCAGGGCCACTGAACTCTTTTCCCAGGATCACAGGACTCACCTTCAGCTTCACCCACTCATGGACCGAAAAACCAGCTTTCATTATTTACATACCACTGCTCTCTGTCCTAACAGCAGTGACATGAGATTCTGGCACACACACACACACACACACACACACTCGCACCTGTGTATAGTAAATTTTGTAGGTGTATTACTTAATACAAAACATAAACAAACCCTAACACTGCCCAACACCTCCTGACTGTAAACAAAAAAAGTCAGAAGGAGCACTGGGAACCTGTGTAGTTAGATAAAAGGCCTGAAGACATAATGATAATATTAACCCATTCTGTCTAATCATTAGTCCATATTATCGAACAGGACGTAGAGCTCACTCCTTCAGTTCAGTTCACGCAGTTATGGTATTAAAACACAAGTGGTGAGCAATTTGATCAGATACAATCAGCAGCAGATAATCAATCAATCAGATAAAAAGTGGAAAAATATAGCTCCAATGGCATCCAAATACAGTACAGAGACAGGAGATCTGAGAAGAGACAGACATCTGAGGAGGGACAGATGTCTGAGGAGGGACAGAGGTCTGAGAAGGGACGGTGGTCTGACGAGGCACTGAGGTCTGAGGAGAGACAGACATCTGAGGAAGGACAGACAGAGGGACAGGGACAGTCTCTGAGGAGAGACAGACGTCTGAGGAGGGACAGACTAAGGGACAGGGACAGTGTCTGAGGAGAGACAGACATCTGAGGAAGGACAGACAGAGGGACAGGGACAGTCTCTGAGGAGGGACAGACTAAGGGACAGGGACAGTGTCTGAGGAGAGACAGACATCTGAGGAGGGACAGACAGAGGGACAGGGACAGTGTCTGAGGAGAGACAGACATTTGAGGAGGGACAGTGGGCTGAAGAAAGACAGAGACCAAGGTCTGAGGAGGGACATCATGTCTCCAGTTTTCTGAATGTAAATCTGGAGGTTAGTCATGGCACCAACTCACAGACATCTTTGTCATGTTGTTATTAATCCAACTATTATCTAACATCGTCAACATTTATTTGAACCTCTTGGCTCCAAAGAAGAAACATTTTTAAAGTAAACTTCCTGTTTCAGTTAGAATTTAATTACTGGACAGTATGACCATAATGATTACTGTCATTGTTCTCCTCATATCTCTTTCTTCTTTCAGGCTCATCGGTCAACCAATCAGCTGACCTGTTCTCCAACACCACATGCAACATGTCCACCAATGATTCAACTTCCTGTTCTCCTGTGGATGATGGGATGGGGACAGGAAGTCCATATAAGGCTCTGGAGATGTTTTTCATCGCCTTGGTTACAGGCTCTCTGAGTTTTGTGACTGTCACAGGAAACATTTTAGTCATGCTGTCCATCAAAGTGAACCGCCACCTACAGACTGTCAACAACTACTTCCTGTTCTCATTAGCATGTGCTGACCTCATCATCGGTGTCTTCAGCATGAACCTGTACACAGTCTACATCATTGTGGGCTACTGGCCCCTGGGGCCTGTGGTCTGTGACCTGTGGCTAGCTTTAGATTATGTTGTCTCCAACGCCTCTGTGATGAATTTATTGATCATCAGCTTTGATCGGTACTTCTGTGTGACCAAACCCCTGACATATCCCACGAGAAGGACGACTAAGATGGCGGGGTTGATGATCGCAGCGGCGTGGATCCTGTCCTTCATCCTGTGGGCTCCCGCCATCTTGTTCTGGCAGTTTATCGTAGGACAGCGAACAGTGCCACCTGGAGAGTGTTATATTCAGGTACAGACTTCTATACTGTTACTGATCCCTGTAATAACAGTGTATCCTGCCAAATGTTAGCAGGTAGTATAAATGCTAACAGACTAGCCTGCTAGCAGCCATGCAGTGAGGTTAGTCTAAGCGGTCTGTCAAGGCTCTTCTGTATGCTGGTTTTGGTCTGTTGTCAAATAATCAGCTGATCAGCTGATGTTCATTCAGTCTCTTATCCTTACTGATGAAGTGTTTTCCACAGCTCACATGTCACACCAGACACCACCTGTGTTTTCTCACACTCACTGATCCTGATTCCAAGAATGAACCTCCAACAAAAATGACCTATTGTGTTATTGGGGCACTGAATTTCACTAAACTCACTGTCGTGTTGATGAAACCAGTTTGTGAAATGGAGCATTATCGTCCTGGAAGTGTATGTGTACACATTCTTTGTAGATAATAAAAGGTTTTCTCTCTTTCTTCCTACAGTTCCTGTCTAACCCTGCGGTGACCTTTGGGACAGCAATAGCAGCTTTCTATCTCCCTGTCATTATTATGACAGTCCTGTACATCCACATCTCCTTGGCCTCCAGGAGCAGAGTCTCCAAACACAAACCAGAGAAGAAGGAGAAGAAGGGGATAAAGTAAGAGTACACATTATATACTTGTCAACCAATAACCAATGAGACATTTGAGACACAGTTTGTAGAGAAAATATATTGTAATGATTTAATTTGACCATAAAGAAATCTGTGAAAAGAATATTCATTCTGATGTTTTCTCCAGGACTCCCAGCCTGATAAAAAGTCATCTGTTAAAGCAGAACAACAACAATGAGACCAGTCCTCAGCCAAGTCCCCGATCTACCCCCAAACTCAGTCTGGACTCAACCACCACTGCTCTGGAGGCCGTGAAGAATGGCAGAGTGGAGGAACCAAAACCTGCTCCAGCTCCGGCTCTGACACAGCCCAGTCCAGGACTCACACAGGTACTCTACCAACTCATACAGCATCACATCAGCAGACACAGTTCATGACTGTGATAACTTATATCTATCTATCTATCTATCTATCTATCTATCTATCTATCTATCTATCTATCTATCTACTATCTTCTATCTATCTATCTATCTATCTATCTATCTATCCAGGAGGAAAAAGAGAGCTCCAACGACTCGTCCACAGCTTTTATTCCTCCAACAGAACCAAAGGACAATACCAACAACAAAGTCATATCTTCTGAGGTTGGTCTTCAACAGTTCCACCTCCTGTTTCTTTCTTTGCTTTAGATCCATCACAGTCTTAGAAGGTATTTCTTTTTACATGGGAAGCAGAAGTACACATACAGCCCATAACTGCCCTCACACCACACTTTTCACATAACTTTCACAAACTCTTTCGTGCTTCACCTTTCACATGTGCAAACACTGAGGCAATGAAGATACATCTGGAGGAACATAAATTGCAGTGTCTTAAAAACACCATCCCCACTGTTAATGTTAAACCTGCTGTACCTGTACTGGACACCAGTCACTGAGTGGGAGGAAACAGTCAAACACCACATTGACCCATAGAGGAATGAAAATACACACTCAGTGCTGCACCACAGTTAGAGTCCATGCATTTTTATTTTTAGAGTTCAGTCTAATTTATTTAATCTACATAATTTAGTGTTATGTTGAACATAAATGTAGCAGTTTTTGAAAGAGTAAATCTGCAAACACACAGAGGTCACACAGAGTCTGAGCAAGAAAACACTTTAAGAAAAGTTCTCCACACTGACTTCTACTGACTGTGAAGAGTTTTACTCAGAACTGATAAATGTTTGTTACCAACTGTTAAAAACTGATTATTCTGATATATTCAGTTTTTAAAATGTTAATTCAGAGTCAAACTAGTGCATAGATGTCACCTCTGACACACATTTACACCAGAGGGGCAGAAACCGAGTCACACAGTTCTTTAACATCTGACTGACTGTCCACAATAATGGAGGAACTTGTCATGTTGGTAACAGAACTTATTGTTGAACTTATCTGGCAGACATCTGTTATCTGACAGATTAAATATATCGCAGGACAAATGTGTTGTGTGTTGAGCTCTTAAATCTTTTACTTCATTCAGTTTACAACAGTTTACTCCGGCTGTAAAAGTTCTTAACAAAACTTTCTTGGTTTTCCTGCAGGCTGCAACAAATCCCAGCCCAGTTGCCATGACAACAGACAATCCTGCCATGGCCAAGATCAACCCCTCCTCAAGGTGGTCCAAGATAAAGATTGTAACGAAGCAGGCTGGGGACGAGTGCATCACAGCCATAGAGATTGTCCCGCCTGTAGAGGGAGCCGAGAGACATTCGATCCCAATCAGCCGTCCCAGGACTGTGGCAAGAAAATTTGCGAGCATCGCTAGAAGTCAGGTGAAGAGGAAACGACAGATGGCTGCCAGAGAGAAGAAGGTGTGTGAATGTAGTTCTGCACATGAGGAATAAACTGACAGTGTCGATAGATAGTTGACACACTGAGGCAGATTTGAACAAAAATGGACCAGCTAGTTCATAACTGAAAAAACAACGCTACTGATCTCTCAGCAGGAAAACTAATTTAACTTTGTTATTTTCACACTTGGGTTATTCAGCCTCCACCTCTCTCCATCACAGCCTCAAGTATTCTGATAATTGTCTTTTGGATGATGGAGGATGATGATGGAAGAGGATGGTGGTGACAGAAACTGTCAGATATAAATCACTCAATTCATGTAAAATAGAGGATGGCGGTGACAGAAACTGTCAGATATAAATCACTCAATTCATGTAAAATAGATAAATGTTCTGCTTCTAATGATGTGATGATGGGTTAATTCTGTGTTTTTGTTATGTCTATTGTTTAATGACTCATTTCCAATCAAACAACACTTCCTGTTCAGGCTCTGGAGCTGAAGAAGAAGAAGCTCTACATGTGTGTTCACACAGAGAACAAATGTCATTATAGTGAATTTGACCCACTGTTGAGACCTCAGCAGTTGAGACCTCAGCTGTTTAAACCTCAGTTGTTCAGACGTCAGTTGTTCAGACCTCAGCTGTGCAGACCTCAGCTGTCCAAACCTCAGCTGTTCAGACCTCAGCTGAGAGCTATCAGTGTGTGTTTATGTTTCTCTCCTGTACATTCATGAAACTCCAGGATGAGCCAACGCTGACCCAATATTTTCATGTCTCACCTTCACCTCAGCTGGTGAATTTTTTGGCCTCCACTGTCTTTAAATGTATTTGATATTCACATCTCTTTGAATGGCAAGGTACTCAAATACACACACATGTATTTGTGGATTTTGCCTCCATCATTTCCAACCTAGCTTAAGCTACAGTGACACTGTACTTACACCATTAGTATGAAACATATATAAGACACAATGTTCAACCATCACTAAGCTGATTTTCACAGTGAACTGAATGAAAACCATCTGCTGAATGGAGATCTTCCTTCATTCTATTCACTCCTCCTCTCTCTCTCTTTACTCCACAGGTGACCAAGACTATCTTCGCCATCCTGCTGGCTTTCATCATCACATGGACGCCATACAACGTCATGGTCCTGATCTCAACCTTCTGCCAATCTTGTGTTCCTGACACTGTGTGGGCCATCGGCTACTGGCTGTGTTACGTCAACTCCACCATCAACCCTGCCTGTTATGCACTATGCAACGCCACATTCAAGAAGACATTCAAGAACCTGCTGCTGTGCCAGTATAAAAACATTGGCACCAGATGAGATGGAGGGAGAGGACCGAGGGTGGGATGGATGGGGGACGGGTAAACCAGAGTGCAGAGGAAGGGAGAGGAAATATTGTTAAAGGTGAGTGAAAGAGAGCTGAGAGGAGAAGATGGCAGAAAGAGAAGAAACATCTGAAGGGGATGAGAAATGTTGGTCCAGACAGACTCAGAACAACATGTGTAATGGATGACAGAGTTTAGTAGAAAGTTCTTTCTAAAGAGAAGAGACATCTGCATCTGTTTATTCTACACATGAATGTTAGTCACTCCGTTGATACACAGACCTTAACATAACCAAGGCAGGACCAATTATCTGACTTCTACAGCTCTGTTTCCAACATACACTACAGGAGTTAAGGAACAGCTTCACCACCAATTAAAAACTATGTGGCTCTACTGTGGTCGTCATAACAACCAATGTTGCAGCCACGACGACATAATCACAGCTACAGTCTGTCACAGTCACAGCAGCAGCAGCCAGTCAGACACTGTTCCACTAGTTATCTTAACATTAGCTGCAATGATACAGATTAGACCACAGCACAGGGTGAACACACTGTAAACACAATACGCAGTGTGACATCATCATGTGTCCATTCTTTATGTTACTGTGGAAGCTCAGCCTGCCTCTGTGGATCAGAGGGAAAGTAAAGTCGGCTGACACAAGCTCATAGGTCATCTGTGCAGCAGGTTATTATGACCCATAGTTACGATTTGTTGCTAGGTGACATCTAGTGGTCATAGTAATTATGACAGGAGCAAAGGGAAACGTGCGGTGATATAGTATATAGAGAGATAAAGTCCACGTCAGGAGGTGGTTGTAGCAGATCGGTGTTTGAATCCTGTGTGAAAGTAGAGGCTTAGTTGTTTCTGTTATCCATGACCGTTCTTTGTTATTACTGTAACCATGACAACAAAGACTGTCTAATGAAGTACTTATCAACCCAAACAACCATCTTTTCCTAAACCTAATGAAGTCATGATCATTATTATAGTAACCATGGCGACGAAAGTAGGTACACTGCTGTCAGTACAGTCTGCATGTTTATTATTGTAACCATGACAACCAAGGTCCAGTACACCTGCCACCATAGGGGCGCTATTTCGGGAGACACTGCAATGGGTCGTGTCACAGGGTCACTGTCCTGATTTTAGTACAGGTTTTTTGCAGACTACTTACATGTCATAGAAAGTAAGAGGTCGTTAATTTTGTGGCTTATGCGGGCATCAGAGAAGAGCTGTCAATCAATATGTCAAGGCAGGGAGGTGGAGGGGTGGGAGGAGCCAAGTGGTTTCAAGTTTCAATTAGCTTGATTTTCAGAACTTATATATGGAAGCATTCTCAGCACTTTTCAGTAGCCTTTATAAAGTCTGTTAGAACATAGGTTATAAAAATCATTTGAAAAAATAAATAAATCAGCGACAAAAGTAAAGCAAAAATCATGTCCTCCTGCGACCTTCATGCTCAAATCCAAATTCACTCAGCTCCATAGAGGCCTGGTGAAGTGAGGTATGAGGGTATTTTTTAGTAAAACGTGTTTTACTAAATGACCAACATGCTCAGGACATTTCTTTGCAGTTCAGTCCATGGCTCTGATGCTAACACAGTTGCTGAGGTCTTCAGCCAATCAGAGAGCAGCAGCATTGATTCTTATATATTTGTTCTGGTATTAAATGAAAGTACAACAGGTCATCATAATGGGGACAATATATATATATATATATATATATATATATATATTTGTTTCTGATAATTTATGTACTGATTTGCCAGCTCAGCCTCAGAGTGCTGCCAGAGGACTCAGACGATGAACTGTGTGTGTTTTAATGACTGAGGGAGGATGGGTTCGTCAGTTAATTCTAAGGCAGTCTGCCATTCAGGCTTTCATACTTGTTATACCAGGCTTCATGGTGAAGTGGGTGGTAGAATGAAAATATTGGTCATCAGACTAATACACCAACTGACCACAGTCCTCCTCAGTCTGCACCACAGCCTGATCCCATCTGTTCACTGGCTGTGTTTTTATTTTCTGTTTCTAAAATGCTTCTCTTTTTTTAATATTTCCACACATGAACTGCAGCTTTACTGTCTTTAGTTATTCTCTAACTGTGCTGGTTTATTGAGGGGTAAACACAGTGGGTTTAAAACCAGTTTAAAACAGTTGAGTATTATCTGGATTTCTCAGGTTTCATGCTGTTTCTTTGGCTGCTGAGATTATTTAGAAGATAGGTGCTACATATTTTCATGAAGGCAAAGGAAAATTTATTTTTGAGGCAGACAGAGTTTAAACTGTGATGACTGGTACCACAGCTCATTAACTGGAGAAGCATCACTGCTGCTGGTCTCGTTCTGCTCGGGTCTGTCCCGGTTCTCCATTGTTTTAGACATGGTCTAGTTAGATTTTGGCCTATGTTTTCTCTCTCAGATTGCTGCTTAATATTAGAGGAACTGTTTGTTTCACTTCAATGCTGTGAACACCACATCTGTATTTTGATGATGTAGGACCAGCTGATCCATCTAAAAAGGAAAGAGATACTAAATAAAAGGAGAAGGAAATCACAGAGGGCGAAGTTGATGGAATGGGGAAAAGGTAGGTAGAGAGCTTGTGAAAGAAGATGGACATGAACCGTGAACAGGAACAGGAATTCTTCGTTCAGTCCTAATCTCTCATCTTCAATGCTCATGTTAGACATAGTCAGACAATTAGACAAAGACACTATAATTAATCTAAAATCAGGATACTGTCTGATACCAGTGTTTTTGTTCTCATGTGGCAGAAACAGTGTGACTCATGAGAAGTGATGTCAGACGTTAGTTTTTTCACTCATTATGAGGGTATGTCAGGTCATTGTGCAGGCATCAGGTTTTTAAGAACACAGACATTATTCATGTCCAACAGGAATTTGTCCCAGACTCGTCTGATCCAGTTTGAGAAGTGAAAACTTCATCAGCCAAAGTGCGAACAAATCTTCTGTGACTCAGCAGCTGGTTTCTACTTTTACTGTGGCTGTGTCGGCTTAGTGTGGATCAGGAGTCTGTCAAGACCAAGTCAAGAACCTACTGCTCACTGAAGAGAAAGAAAATTATGACATCCTGTTCATCCACTCAGGGACTGAAATATGGAGCATACACTCTACACTTTACTAGGAACACCTGCACACCTGCAGATCCAGGCTAGAAGCTTCAGTTAATGAGGACACGTGATCTCAGTGACTTTGCGCTTCATAATTGTTGGTGTCAAACGGCTGGTTTGAGTGTTTCTCAAACTGCTGATCACACATAACAGTCTCTAGAATTTTTACTCAGAATGGAGCACCATCAAAACCATCCAGTGGGCAGCAGTTCTGTTGATTGTGAGAGGTGAGAGGAACATGGAGCTGACAGAAATGCTACGGTCACTCAGATAACCACTCTATTCTCCATTTATGGCCACAGTTTACCATCTTCTAATGGGTACTTTGAGCAGGCTAAATGCTCCATGTCACAAAGCTAAAGTCGATTCAAAATGTTTTCATCTACATGACAGTGAGTTCAGTGAAGTTCAGTGACCTCCCCAGTCTCCAGACCTTTAGAATGTGGTAAGAACAGGAGATTGGCAGAATCTGCAGAAATGATGTGATGCAGTCATGTAAACATGGAGCAGAGTCTCAGAGGAAAGTTTCAACATCTGGTGGATCCATGACATGAAGAACTGAGGAACTACCCAATGTTAGTGTGATGTTCCTTATAAAGTGATCACTGAGTGTATTTTGTATACCAGACCCCCTGCTGCTGGCAGATTTTATTAGTCACTGACTAGTTTTAAAATGAAGACCCTGTCCTTCAGGGACTGGCTGTTAGCTCAGACTATTATTTCTAATCGTGTTTGGGTGTTTATGACACACACAGGTTTTTCACTTTTACAAGAGAGAAACCTTTGAGGATGACGATTAGCCGGTCTGTTCAATTTAACAGGAAACAAGTTCGGCTGATAAGCAAATGTTAGCCTAAACTCATCAGGGAGCGCTGCAGAGACGTCTTAATGGTTAAATAAAGGTTGAATTAATAGAATAGTGGATGTAAGAGCACGCAAACGTAACATTACAAAAATGCATTGTTTAATCCATTTCTTATGTTCGTCTCACTATAACACCTGGTGTATTCAGTAATCCGAGGCTTGATAGTCATGCAGTGGCTAGTTGCAACCATTCTGAGTTTTAGACTAAATTGGACTAAAGCTAAAAGAAGAAACTAATTTAAAAATCATATCAGAATTCGTAGAAATTGTGAAAAGTTAATGTCCAGTACGGTGAAACAGAACATGGCTCGTGTTCAAATGGTTCTCAGAGATGGTTTGGCAGTGTTTGATTGGATTAATTTATGTATCGGCTTCTGTGTCATCAAGGGCATTCAAATATTTTACAGGAAGAAAAAAGAATGAGTCTGGAATTTTGTTGTTATCAAGAGATAACAATTATTTAGAAAATGTCTTTCAATTTTATTTGTGTATATGTTGTTTTGTTTGTTCCAATATGTCATCATCTCTGCTCCTTCACTGCATTGAAGGCTTGCCCTGGTGGCCTAGTGAGGAAGATGCACACCACATACTGTGATTACATTATGTCTGGTTTGAATTTAGGTTGTGATCTTTGCTGCATAACATACTCAGTCTCATTTCACTTACTGTCATCTCCATGTTGTGCATTAAAATGCAAAATTATTTGAAGTTATTTCCAAGAACAATTCTTATGGAGTCATTTCAAATTGATTTCCTTCTGAAATCAATTTCTGACTAAAATTTAAAGTGTGTTATGATCCTCATCAGCAGTTATTGTACGGACATGTAGTGTATCACAACATGTTTTGTTCCTGAACACTGATTTTTTAGAGTATGACTGTGATTTCTAATATAACTGTTTGATTGTCACAACATGCAGAAACAGCAGAAGTGATTTCCAAGGAGACACTATAAAGTGAAAACATTTCCCTTCACTTACTGTCAGTTGTTCTTAGTGAGA